TTCTGAGAGCAATAGGAAGGTCCAGGTTATCTGTAATGGGATTAGTAGAACCAATGGGAACTGAAACAGTAGAGAGATCAAGAGAAATGCCTAAATCCGTGTCAACTGAATCTAGAGTCTCCAAGGAACCGACAAGAAGTGATGAGAGTTCTTCTGTAATGGAATCAACCTCCCTATGAAGTCTCTGTCGTAAGTAACACTAAGAAACAGGGCGCAAAGGAGGCGGTAAGGTAGGTAACATAGGAGGATCAAACACAAGAGTGGAACAGGAACTGGAATTGGAAGAGGAATAGACTATTCACTCACTTCCCCAAAACACTCCCCCTGAGAAGGATCCTTCGAAAAGAAGGATATGGACTCAAAAAAAGTGACACCCATAGTAACATACCGACTCCTAGAGATTGGATCATAGCAGCATTACCCTTTCTAATTTTCTGCATATCCAAGGAAGACGCTTTTTTGCCTTTAGATCAAGCTTTGAGCGGTGAAGACCAAGAATATGTGCAAAGCAAACACACAAACACCCTGAGAGGAATATGGAGCATCTCCCCCAAATGGAAAATGAGACTGAATGGTATGCTGAATCCAAGTATACGAGAGGGCACCCTATTAATCAGAAAGATTGCTTGAGAACCGCATCACCCCAAAACTGAACTGGAACAGTAGATATGATCATCATGCTTCTTACAATCTCAACAATGTGTCTGTTCTTTCTCTCTGCAACACCATTCTGCTGTGGACTGTAGGAACAACTGCTCTAATGAACAACACCATATTCTAACAGATACAAAGCAAGGTTCTTTTCAAAGTATTCCCTGGTATTGTCTGATCTGAACACTTTTATTCGTATCCCAAACTGTGTTAGCACCATCTGATGAAATTGTCGAACCGAGGATGGTACCTCATCTCGAGATCTCATTAAGTAAATCCAAGAGTATCGAGAAAATCATCCACAAATAAAAGACAATATCGATAGCCACCCATAGAAGGAACATGGTATGGTCCCCACACATCAGAATGAATAACATCAAAAGCAGATGAACATCTTTTATTACTAGCTTTAAAGGAATGTCTACAATGTTTTCCAAGCTGACAACCTTTACACTCCAGACTGGACAAATTAACAGACTCAAAAAGCTTTGGAAATAAGAAACTCAAAGAAGAAAAAGACAAATGACCCAAACGATTATGCCAAAGCATAATCTGACTCACGGACCCCGACTCACCATCCCTGCTGACACGATGACCCTGATGATGAGGAAGCACATTCAGGAGGTAGATTCCATTCACTTCACGACCACTCCCAATCGTCCTCTTTGAATCCAAAACCTACAAAATACAATGACCAGGAAAAAAATTACTGAGCAATTCTGGTTCTTAGTCAAACTACCAACAGATAACAAGTTAGTACTCAATCTGGGAACATAAAGGACAGAGAGTAGGGAAATGGTATCATTAATCTTGACAGACCCCTTCCTAGCAATGGGAACATGAGATCCATCAGCTGTGGAGACTCTGTCTCTGCCAGAACAGAGCTAGTATAAAGAAAAAATAGTGGAACTATGGGTCATGTGCTCTGAGGCTCCAGAACCTATAATCCAAGGAGGTCCCTCCTTACTTGTAGTAGAAACATAGTTTGTAGTGGCATGTGAACTACCTGTGTGAGCAAAAGAAGTAGAGTATGCTCCACAAGAACCACCTGTACCTAGTTGTCCACTTGTTACTAAGTTAGGACTGACAATATCCCGCTGATTCAGGAACTACCCATATCTCTCAAGTTCGGCCCTCACTGCAGCAATTACAACAAACTCCAGAGTGGTTGTAGTAGGAGGGGCAGGTATGTCACCAGTGACTGCCATGTGAGCAATTACAACAAACTCTAGTAGGTATCTCTTTTATGTTTAGGCTTCTTACAGTAGTCATAAATCAAATCCTTCTTATCTTCCTTCCTGATTTCACTGCCACCCCGATCTCCACCATGTTTAGGTTTCACAGTACTAAGCATGGCTGATTGATCAAAACCAGAAATTTTCATCATCACATTTCTCCTGCTCTCTTCCCCTGATACAAAGGCATATGCCTAAGAGAGAGTAACACTGTCCCTAGAAAGAACATGTTGTCTTGCAATATCATACTCGGGATTAAGGCCAACAAAAAATTCAAAAACCCTATACTTCTCTAGGAGCTTCTGATAGGCAACTGCATACTTAGTGGTTTCCCAAACAACTGTCTCCAGATGGTCAATCTCCTGCCACAGGGTTTTAAGGGCTGAAAAGTAAACAGCAATAGGTCTATCTCCCTGCCTGGTAGCAATAATCCGATTCCTCAACTAATAGGTCCTAGCAACATTCACATTCTATGAGTAGGTTTCTGCAACCCCATCCCATATTACCTTAGTTGTATTTGCCCACAAAAAGTTTTTACTTATATGGGGCAACATCGAATTACACAGCCAAGTCATCATCATATAATTTTCCTGTACCCACCAGGAGATGTTAGTTTCGGGTTTCACTTCCTCATCAATGATATACCCCAACTTCCCACGAGCACCAAGGGCCATTTTTGCAGATTGTGACCATTCTAAGTAATTTGAACCATCCAACTTAACTGTAGTAATGGTCTCAGCCCCGAAAAGGTCTCTGACATCTCTCACTGGTCCCATTTCACTCTCGGGTTTGTTTTCAACTCTATTACCCTCCATAATTCTCAAAAAAGGGTTAGAAGGTTACTGTAAGATGAAAGAATATGAAATAAATCATTTTTGGTACCACAAACACACTTCTAGTGCCCTAGATGATCCTCCCACAAAAGATTCCTTTTCTGCGGGACGGGAGAAAAGAGAGAAGAGGCAGCTGCTCTCTCCAAAGACCTCCAAAACAGGCAGGACTTGAACCGCCCCCTTCAGAAAACTCCAAGAAACCCTAAAAAATTAGGGCACCACTTCCTAGGTCAAAATTGAAGAGTCCTACAGAAACAGGACTTTCCCCCTTTCTCCACTTTTTCCTAAATTTGATGGGAAACCCTAAACCAGCTACAGGGCAAAACAAATCCACCAAAAAATCCAAAAATTGGGCTTACCTAAGATCTTTGATCAACCTCACAAATCACCATATAGACGGCCGATCTAGGGCTACATGATAGAACAGCTCAAGGAACCTTCGGCCCGCTCTGATACCAAGTAGAAATTGTTGATTGCAGTTTTAGATGAATTCCTTGTGAATAAAGAAAGAAGATGAAAAGTTTCAATAGTAGAGAAGAAGAGAGGAGAAGAATAGGAGTGAGATGTCGCCCAGAATTGAATTAGTTCTGGCCGCCAACCCCTCTTTGTATTATATACTTAAATTAAAAGAATGAGAGATTACAAGAATGCCCTTAGTAGGGTGGCTACTTAAGTAGCTGAACGGTCACTACTTAAAAGCATAAACTAATGGGCCTAAAGCCCAATAACTTCCTAACTTAACAACTTAAAAATAAAAGATAAATAACTAGGCCCAATAACTAGAAATCGGCCCAACTCAACAGTTACAATTGAGAATCTTCCCCATCTGATGTAAGGCCTATAAATAGCAGAATAATAGTAAAGGGGATAACCTTTTGGAGCATCAACCCTTCTTTTCTTCTTCTTCTCTTTCCTGTAGGAGGTCTAAACTCCCTCAAAGAAGCTCTTGAGTTAGGCAGCTCCTACCATAATAGATTTTTTGAAGTAAAAGACATATATCCTAGGGTAGTTCCCTAGGTTCCAAGATCATATTTCCTTAATAGTTATCCATAATTTTCATAAGAAAAGTATAAACTTCATGTTAAAGTATAGAAACTCAACATATTCATGAGAAGAAAAAGAAGAAAAGAAAAAAGAAAGTTCAAAAAATATAGGAGCTGAACCCCCTATTTTTGTTATATGAAAAGAAGAAAAGAAAAGGTGGAAGAAGAAGAAGAAGAAAATGTGTTGATTAGACAAAATTTTAAGTTTTTTCTTACTTATTGGTTCAGATTTTGAAGTCTTTAAGGATTAAATATAGCAATTAGCAATGTCTATGTTGATTAAACCCTAACGAAAAAGAAATTAGTATATAATCATACAAAATGAACATTTCAGTTTAACCATGTCTATTTTATAATTATAAACCCACAAAATTAAAAATACAAAAGCATTTTATAACACAATATACAAAACTGCTTGGTGATTAGGCAAGGTGAGGCTCCAAGGGCATCTCATCACCTTGACAACCATGCCATAAAAGACAAACAACCAACACCAGCCAAGATTCAATGAAACCCTAACACCTAGGAGAGCCACCATACGCCCAACCTCCACAACACTCACTATAAAACCTATAAACTTACAAACCTAGAACAACTAACAAACTCGAGCTCTTCCTCCATGCTCAATTCATTGTTAAAGAGAAAAGATGAAGGGAAAAACTTATTTGAAGTCAAAAAACATATGCAGGTTGTCTTGACAGATTAAAAGACAAGCATTCTTGATGGAAGAATAATACATGGACAAAACCAAGTAACCATATTCATAGGGGCAGAGCTAGGAGGGCCTAAGGGAGCCATGGTGCCCCCATGCCCCCCAGAATATCCATGGATGGTTGGCCCTCATCCATGTTTCTTTGCTCCTCCTCCCGTGTCCCCCCCCCCAAAAAAAAAAAAAAAAAAAACAAAATAAAATAAAAAATTCCTGGCTCCGCCCTGCATATTCATATGTAAAATAGTAAGTGTGCATCTATTTGTAATGCATGTTATTTGCCATATTTGGTTCTAGATGGATTCTAGTTTAACCTTGTCAAGAATTTTGTATTTTTACTATGTCAATGAGGAGAAACTCAATAATTTGTCAGGTCCAACCGACACTTGGTGGGCTTACAAATATAAGATGCCATAAACTTTTTTCTTTTCTCTGTTGGGTTGGAAGGGTGGAGGGGTTTTGTGAATGGACCAAAGATATCGAGTACTTTGTGCTTGTAAATATAAGTGCAGCTGAATATGCTACAAACCATGTCAGGCTTGTACATCGACTCGCATGCACCATAAAGAGACTCTGAGGCAGTACCAGCAACAACAAAATCTTTGGCAAGTTCCCTGCACATCCCAATGCAAGCAAAATAAGTTAAGCAATCCATGGGAAGGAGCTTTTAATATCAAACCCAATCCACAAAATGTAAATTAAGAAAATATTAACCTCATACGAATTAAAAAGTTGAACTGAAAGTATACGATAGTAAACCACATTCAACATGCACCATTTCCTCATCTGTGAACCACAGATGATCAGAGAAATATTAGAAGAAAATAGGACGGTGACATGAACCCCCACAAATGATACAAGAACTATCCCAACTAACATTTCCCCATAAAATAGCAGGCCAAGAAAATGCATAATATAGACCCTTGCCCTGAATTAGACCACCAATATAACTTATATCTATTTATACCATCCATATCCAGTATGACTGCCATGATATACGCTAATCTCTGGACTCATCTTAAGTAGCATATATGCTTCTTGCCAAGGATTTAGCTTCCCTGGTGTTACATCTGGATTCCCAAGGACATGGTTGTCTCCTTGTATCCAACCCACTACCACCTGAGAATCCCCTTCCACCTAAAGATTGCCAAACCCAAGAGAGCTCCTAGCCTCAGTCCCTAAAGTGAAGAGAAGACTCAGCCTGGTAATGGGATCCCATGACTTATCAGTCCTCTAAGCCGCCTTATCTCTCAAAACTTCAACTCAATTCTCATTTTCTTATTTAATGGTTTACTCAGATAAAGCTTATTTGCACCCTTTTTAATCCTGTTGGATGTAATACAGTATGCTAAGTGCTACCATGTTAAAACAGGCCAGGGTGGTGTGGAATATGTCAAGTAATGCTGCATTTGATATTGTGGTTGAAACAATTCAGGGAGCTTCTTGACATTATTCTGTGATCTCAGTCATTTTTTTTTTGGATGATATATTTTGTAATCTCAGTTCAAACTCTAGTGTTCAACCATATCAAAATCTAGTTCAAATTTGAACTATAAAACCTTGATTAGATGAGTTATATGCCTAGAAGAGCCTATCTAATATCATCTCATTGACAGATATGCAACAGAAGTATGGTTGATTTATATATGCCACATTGATGGCAACATAAAGTTTTCACTGATCCTGGAAGATGTATTTCATCAAAATGATGCATTTCTGAAAGCAGAAGTAAGCTTTGGCTGAGAAGAAGATGTGATTCTAGAACACAAGTTAAAAATAATGTAAATATTTATAGCTGCTAACATCCTATAGCATGTTAGGGAACTTCTAAATAATACCAAAACAAAGATGGAGAAAAGAAATCAACATACTTGGCACCAATTGAATCCATTGTGCAAATAAATGGCTTGTCATCATCTCCCAACCCAGCAATTACAGGTTGGCAAAAGTATGGTCCAAACCTGCAAAATCAAAATAGTTATATTTCCTGTCTTTTAGTAGTCTTACCTATGTCACTTATAAAAACCATAACAGAGAATATGGTGGTTSAAAGCATGTTTACATTTGGGGATGGTGATGGTGGTAAAGAGCATGATATATCATCACAAATTTTGTTGCAAGCTTTGGCAGATTTCGAGCTCAATCATGAGCTCTTAATAGGAGAAGCTGCTTTCAGAGGAAAAAAAAGCACAATGCACAATACTTATCCTAATGCTGATTTGTTGAAAATTTTGGTTAAAGACGGTGAAAGGTAGGGTGGTGACATTGTGGAAATTGGAGAGGGGGAAGAAGTTGGAAAAGAAGATTTTGTAGAGTTAATAAAGCTGTTAGGGTGGGCAAGAAAATCGATACCAGCAGGGTTGAGGAGGATAGAAGGCTGCGCTACAAGATGTAGGGAATCGGAGAATTGAAAAATAAGGGTGTCAAGTGGAGGTTACTTGGGAGGTGGATGCCCCGCCTTCTAGGGAAGAATTAAGCAGAATCTGTGGTGACGAGGTTGAAAGAGAAAAAGCTAGACAGGTGTTTCCAAAGGCAGGAGTGGCTGATTCTGTTAGAGGTGAGTCTAGAGAAAAGGAAGAAGGGTTGGAAACAGAAAAGAAGGCGGAAAGAACGCGGTAAGGAGGACAGAAGTGAATTCATCAGGAATGGTTCAGGAGCAGAGGAGATGATCATGACTAGCACAGAAGAGTCTTCTGCAGCAAGGGAGAACCGGAGGAGTCAAAAGTGATTGAAAAAAGCAATGCCATAGGCAGTGTGGTGTTAAACAGGTTTCAAAAGTACAGAACAAGACCACTAAGTCAAAGGGAAGAAGATGAACCCAAAATGAAGGGGAAGAAATTCAAGAAGACAAAATTTTGTTGGATGAAACAAACATCGTGGAGGGCTCGGTCAATATGGATCTGGTGGTGAACAGGGAAGTGGAAGTAAAACTCTTGGTTTATTCTTTTTTTCTTTCTCCAGGGGAGGGGGAGGGAGGATTTGCAAGGAAGATATTCAAGGAGATGGAGGAAAGAGATAGAGCGGAAAAGGAGGTGATCCATGATGGTGAGGGTTTCAATATTGGGGTAGAGGTTCAAGTTAAATTTGGGATCATGGGACTGGATGGAGTGATTGATAGAGAAGGAAATGAGGGAATTGAGTTCAAGACGTTCGAAAAGAATGCAGTGTTGGAGTTGGAGAGAATCAATGGTAGTGATTTAAAGGTCAAAGATCTTAAGAAGAATGTGAATGCAATGAAGCCATTTACACTGTGTTTGGTTTGAAGGAAAAAGTAGGGAAAGGAAAGGAAAGGTAGGGAAACCTTTACAAACCTTGTCCTACCTTTCCCTTCCTTTCCTTACCTTTTCCTTCAAACCAAACATAACCTTAGAAGATTAAGGTGCCAGCAAAGTTTCCTGGTTTCAAAAGCCTTTACAAGATTGGGAGGAAGTGCATTTGGTGTGGAGCCTGTTAAAAAAGTGAAGAAACTCAAAAATCTCAACAAGACAGGGAGTAAGCTGGTAGCGGTCAATTTATCAAACACCAAATAACTGATTTTGAGTGGGTTTTGAGGGTTGGTTGTGGTTGAAATTGTTGTCCATGGTCTAGTTTGGGAGGGTTTCGGGGATTTCTTATTGCATTTCGATTTGAGCGGTGTTTTTTCTTTGTGTTATGGTCAGTTGGGGCTTTCGGGGGTCAAAATTTAAGTCTAAGGTTATCCTTTGTTGTTTAAGCCAAGTGTGATTCAGGCTTTGTGGGTCTTGTTTTCATTGGTTGGGTCTGGTCTTTCAGGGGTTGTGCTGTTCTCTCGGTGACTACTTGTCACCCTCCTTTGTATTCTTCTTTTTTCTTCAACGAATTTTGTTTTATCTTCAAAAAAAATAGAGGGAAGTAAGAAATTGGCATTAGTTTTCCTACAAGGCGAGGAGAATGCCAAAATAGTGTTTATGGAGTTAGAAGAGGAAAGAACAAGATTCAAAACCATTAACCCCACATGTCATAATCCAACATGTGCTTTATGTTGCAGATTTTGAAAGGATTTGATGAGGTTAAGAACGTACAAATTGATGATTTAGGAAGTGAAGAGAGTGTGGTGGTGGGTAAGGGTAAGGTATTGCTGGTTGGATTAAAGAAAAGACTGTTACTCAGGGCTTCTTTCTGGAGTTAGTTACAACGTGGTCAAGGATTTCTTAAACTCTTTTTTTGAGTTGCATTGATTGAATCATTGAGGAAATTGTGTTTTCTTGTGGGTGGGTTAAAGATTTTGGTTAGGATTTAGCCATGCAGGGATTCCCGTTTCCATCTTTTTCTTTTGGTAACTATTAAGCTTCATTGATACAAGAAAAGAATGAGGCACGTATAATATGCTGAGCATCATATATATAGACCAAAAAGCAGTGACCTAACCCAATTTTGCCTTTCTCATTACAACTGAGCCAAAAATAATTGATCCCTATTCATCCCTTGTTCGCCCAATGCATCAACCAAACTATCTCAGAATTTCTGGTATGATTTCTTATTTTCTTTATATAATTGTAGAGCCACTGTTTCTGATAGGGATGAGGAGTGATGTTGGTTTTTCAGTTGCTCAGTGATATCTTATCACCTGAGCTTGTATCCATTTTATCTTTTTCTCTAGCAAAAAATTCTTTTATTTAATTTAAGGGGAAAAACTCAGAATGACATCCACATAGTACCATAAAAATGCATGGCATCTGAAAACAAATACCATTGGCATGCAACTCAAGCATGTTTGTATAATTTCTCTTATAATAAATGGAAATTTTGCTAATAAAAGAAAGAAAATTCACCATAAAAATACATGATATCATAAATACCTATAGTTTTTTTATAATAATCTAAAATGATTTATCTGTGCTTCTTTTATCATCTAATAAATATCACTGTACATTTCTGCATACTTCACAATGTTTCCACTATGTCTATATTTTTTACAATGTTTGCACACAAAATTTATGACACTTTTCTATATTTGGATGACCGACATTTGCACCAACACTAACATCTTAAACCTCGTTTGGTTTTACCCAACTTGCTAAAAGTAAGTCCAATTGATAGATTAAATCAAACATTTTTGATGGATAGACTTATCAAACTTTTGAAAAATGGTTTGTGTGTTTTGTAAATTGACTAATAAAACACCAAATAAAAGTATGTATTTTTTTCAATCCAAAATCTTAACCCCATTTTCTAATAGTAAGCTCAATTGATATTAGACTACCATCCAATCACAAATAAATTAAGAAATACAAACCCCCCAAATTTTGGTACATAAAATAGAATTAATGAGAATACACTTTCACTTTAGAACAGCCAACCCAAACCTAGTGAACTTTACAAACAACTACCATTCACAAGAATCAGATATAAAAGTTACATAAAAAATCAGCTTTTGAAAGGACCGTAAATTCTGTAAATTCCAACATAAGCCATTCAAAATTCACCAAAATCCTATCTCGAATGCACCAAAACTAAATGACCAACCTTTTCTCGTATAGAATGGCGGAGACAAGATTGGCAAATGTTTCAGGTTTCATATCCCTCTCTTCACGAAGCTGGTATAATTTATGACGGAAGAAGAGCCGTTGATACCTTTAAATTAAATAAACATAGCAGAGAAACCAATTCAAAATAATTTAGAGATAAGAAGGAAAAGAAAATAAGAAGCAAACTGAAGTGAAGAACACTCACAAAGTTTGAGCATCGGTAGCAAGGCCAGAGAGGCCAATATAAAGCTTATCGTGAATCTTGTAAATCCTCTGGAAGTCGGTGGCTATGGTCTGGAGCTGCACTCCGAGGCGCCGATCACTGGCGATGGCGAAGCAGTTCTTCCCCACCATGGCTATAAGGGCACTGCCATTGTACTCGAAGATCTGAGGAAAAAGAGAACGAACTCGGATGAGATTGATTGCGTTGCAGTAAACTTTAGGGTTTTGAAATAAAAATACAGGCAATGGAAGACCGAACCTACCGACATGTTGACAGAAAACAGGGAGAGAACAGAGAAAGAGGGTCTGAATAGCAGAGAAGAGAAGCTTGGGCACAAAGAAACTAGCGAAGGATCTGTGGTTTCCCCACACTCTGCATTTTCTGTCGGAAAACTTGCTCGTCACTCCAGCCTCCAAGACTATGTTTCAACCAGACCGGAGATCGAACCGTTAGAATTGTTTAGATCGAGTCGTCCGGTTCGCACCAAATTGAAATGGGCTCCGCGACTTATGGATATATCGTCCAATGGGCTGGGTTGGACACTGATATAGGTCCACCATGGAGCCATTCACGGGTCGGGTTCCGGTCGGGCCTTCTCTATATTAAGTTGACTTTTTGGTCAGTGGTCCCAATCCCAAACTGATTATTAATCAGGAAAAATCACATAGTCAAAATTGTCCCAGTTAATAGTTGGGTCTACCGGATTCGAACCCGTTAGACCTAATTAAACTAAAAACTATATTTATTTATTTAAATAATAACTTAAAATTTAAATTTCAATAATATAAGTTTAATAAAAATTATAGTAAAATACTAAATTATTTATATGTTTATCAAGTACACATTTTTAACTAATATTATCTTATATATTATATATCAAAATATCAAATTTACCATTTTAAACATAAAATATGATAAGAATTATAAGAAGATTAAAAAATCTTATTTTTAATAAAATTACCACTTCAAGACTGGTAAGAACCAAAATTGATCCAATTATTAATCAAGACAAAATCATTGAACCAGAAACAACATAATTGGTTTGGTTCGGTTTGGACAATCAGGTAGAACCGACCATTAACAACCCTACTTAGATCTTGAGCCTAAGCCCAACCCTCATATAAATCCAAAGCCTAGTTCTGAGCCCAAAGCCCGACCAAGAAAATTGGGCAAGAAGGTTTTTATTTTTACTCAATAATAAAACTAATAAATTTATACAAAATGACATCAAAGAGAAAGAGAAGAGGAATAGAGAAAAAAATATGTATTATAATTTTTATTATATTAAACATTAGGGCTTGGGCTTAGGTCGGGCTTCTTTAAGAAGCCTGAGCCCGACTCAAAAAAATAAAAAGTCAAGCCTAGTGTTGTGGGCCCAAGCCCGAGCCCAAGCCCACAAGCTTAAAATCTTGTCCAAGCCAGACCAAGAATGAGCCAAGATAAGTCGACCCCATCAGGCTACCTAGCCCATGAACAAGTCTAGTCCACCCATAATTATTTGCCAAAAGGTGCATGTTTTGAAAGACAAAAAGCACCTTTATGGCTCCATTTATTAGGGGTGAGCATGGATTGATTTGGTTCGGTTCCATAGCAGAATCTGGAGTCTACCCTATAGGGTTTGGTTCTAGGCTTTTAGAACCAGAACCTACCCTCTGAAGGTTGGTTCCTAGGTCAGTGATGGAATTAGCAATTATGAGGTCGTTTCCAAGGTCCACCCGTGAAACTTGTTATTTCTTTACACTCTTCCTTAAAAAAATGAAATATGTTCTTTAAAAACTTGGTTTTCAATAAATATAATATATAGGTTGACTTATATTATCTTTATTAATTAAATTGAGTAATTTAATATGTAGATGTAAGCGATAACATACTAATGTGCATGGCTCATGCATGTATCCGGTGCATGGTACATGCACCCAAGACTCCTACTTCATCATGTAAACTCTTCTTCCTTCTTATCCTATAAATACCTTTCCTACTATACTTCTTCTTGTATAACCCCTATCCTATACACTTGTAGATTATCTTTGTAAAGGATAAACCTATCATAATAAGATAAGGATAATAAGATAAGGATAAACCTATCATGTAAACTCTTCTTCCCTCTTATTTGATTGCATCTAACCTATCCTATTTCAGATAGAACTTCTTGTACTTTATATAAATCATCAAAGAAAGGATAATAGATATTCGACCATTATTATCAATTGTCTCTCTCTTATTACCCTCATATGGTATCAGAGCCATACACAACTCCTTTTATTTTCTTCTTTTCAAGCAGTTTCTTCTTCAAATTTTTGTCATGTCTTCCAGCATGTCTACTAGTTCGATAAATCAAATAACATTCGGAGTATGAGGGAATCACATTCCTTAGTTGATTTCGGTTCGGTTGGATGGTTCCAACAATATTGTCTGGCGTTTTCAAGTTGGGAATGCCCTTTTGAGCCATGAACTCCTCAGATATGTCAATGGGACAAACCCTTGTCCATCTTGCTCACTGATTGAACCCTATACGCAATGGGTTAAACAAGATCGTTATATTTTTTAGCTGGTTGTTGTCTTTTCTAACAGAAACAACATTAGTGCAAGTCGTGGGAAGCAAAACCAGCAAGGATGTTTGGGAAATGCTTGAGAGTTTTTATTCTCCTTGAGGAACAGCCAACGTAGTTGGTCTCAAAAATGAACTCRGAGCTCTACGCAAGAATGATCTCACCATGTCAAACTATCTGCAAAAACTCAAGGTACTTGGTGACAAACTAGCTGCAATTGGTGAGCCCCTGACAAATTCGCAGTTAATTCATCATGCCTTCAATGGTCTTGGTCCAGACTATGATGTCTTCTCTACAGCAATCATTACCTGGATAGATGAATTACCGTTTGCTAGCTTGCAAGGTATGCTTCTCACTCATGAAAATCGTTTACTTCATTCAGTAACAGCGTCTACACAAGCTAGTTCTCCTTTTGCGAACCTTGCCTCTAAGGGGAAGGATTCCAAGAAATATAATAAATTCAATTCCTCACAAACGGGTAATGGTTCTACTAAGCCCTCAAAATATAGCAATAATCTTTGTCAAATTTGTGGAGGACGAAATCATTATGCCAGGTACTATCGGAAACTTATTGCACACATTGAGAGTTTAAAGAACCCTAAACGACCACAACCCCTAGCGTTTACGGCTATATCAGGACGTGGCAAGTAGAATACAGATGTTTGGTTCCCTGATTCTAGTGTGACACATCACCTCACTTCAGATCTGAATAAACTGCAAGTACATTCTGATTATGATGGATCTAATCGTGTATCTATTGGCGACGGTTCAGGTTTGCCGATTGCTCATTCTGGTTCTACTATTTATGCTTTATCTTCCTAATCATTGATTATGAATAATATTCTACATGTTCCCCGGATTTCCTTCAATCTATTATTTGTGGCTCGGTTTTTCGCTGATAATGATGTCTACTTTGAATTTCACCCTCATGAATTTTTTGTGAAGGATCGATGCACCAGGATGATACTTCTTCAAGGGCCAAATAGGGATGGTTTGTATCAACTTCGTCTCCCACTCAAGATATCAGCTTCGTCCCCTTCTGCATTTGTAGGTACTCGTGCCAGTTCTACAATCTGGCACCATCGATTGGGTCACCTTTCTCTTAGAGTGACTCAACAACTTATTTCTTCTCAGCACTTACCAATAGTACCTAGTAGTGATTTAACTTTTTGTTCAACTTGCTCTATGGCCAAAAGTCATGTACTTCCCTTTTCCAGAAATCATGCCATCTGCTTCTGGATATCGTTACTATATTATGTTTGTTGACGATTTTAGTCATTACAGTTGGATTTTTCCTCTTACTTGCAAAACTGAGGCATTTAATGTGTTCTTAAAATTCAAAGTCAATGTTGAATTGTTGTTTGACACTAAAATTAAATATTTTCAAAGTGAAGGTGGCTCTGAATTTAAGAGCTTTGAGAACTATTTTCATCATGTGGGTGTCTCTCATCGTATATCATGTCCACACACAGGCAAAGAATGGGCGAGCTGAGCGCAAACATCTCGATATTGTTGAAACTGGTCTTGCTCTTCTGACTCATGCCAGGATTCCTCAAAAATATTGGTTTGAGTCCTTCTCCACTACAATCTATCTTATTAATCGACCTCCTACTTCAGTTCTTGGATCATGTTCTCCCTTTGAGAAATTATTTGGTCATCCTCTGGACTACCTCAAACTCTGTGCCTTTGGATGTGAGTGCTTTCCACATGTTCGACCGTATAATAAGCACAAGTTACAGCCTCACTCTCTTTCATGTGTATTTCTTGGGTACTCTAATTCTCACAAAGGATATGTTTGCCTGTATCAATCTATGGGATGGATTTTTATCTCTCGGAATGTCATTTTTAATGAGGATTCCTTTCCCTTCCTTACTGCGACTGCTGCTACATCTTCTCCATCATCGACTTCACCACCTCCAGTTGGGGCTCCTCCCCTTGTTGTTGCTTCTGACACTACATTTCCAGGTGAGGTTTCATCTTCTTCATCTACACCTCAGGATGTTGTGCTCCCTTCAACTGCGGTATCTACTGATTCTGCCCTACACCTCAGGATGCCTACTTCTTCCTTGTCATTACCAAGCTCACAAGGATCCTCGTTGGGTCCTTGCTATAACTGATGAATATAGGGCTTTAACTCAAAATAACACTTGGACTCTTGTCCCGGCACCCCCTGATAAAAATATTATTGGCAACAAATGGGTTTTTAAAATCAAGCATAAGCCTAAGGGTTCGGTTGAACATTTCAAAGCCCGCCTTGTTGCCAAGGGCTATTCTTAGGAAGCTGGTCTTGATTATGATGAGACATTCAACCCTGTGGTCAAACCGGCTACGATTCACATAATATTATCTCTTGTGGTTTTCTTTAACTGGGATGTTAGCAATGCCTTCTTACATGGCCACATTTCAGAGGAAATATATATGAAGCAACCAGTTGGGTTTGTTGATCCCAGATTCCCAATAATTGTTTGCCGCCTCCATTGATCTCTCTATGGTTTGAAACAGGCACCTCGTGCATGGTTTACACGACTGCGTGATTTTCTTCTTTCTCTAGGGTTTCTCGAATCTCGAGCAGATGCCTCTCTATTTATTTCTCGTTCTGGATATGATATTATTTTAGTTCTTGTTTATGTTGATGACATTATCATTACAAGATCTTCCTCATCTGCCACTAACACTCTCATTCAGCATCTTGCCTCTCAGTTTTCTCTTCAAGATTTGGGCTCTGCACATTATTTTCTTGGTGTTGAACTTCACAGATCGTCCACTGGTTTTCATCTCTCTCAGCATAAGTATATTGATGATCTTCTGAATCGAGCACAGCTTCACGACGCCAAACCCCTCTCTACTCCCATGTCTGCCTCCACTCGGCTCACCAAATCGGAAGGGGAACCTCTCGCTGATCCAACCTTCTTTTGCAGTATTATTGGTGCTCTCCGATACATAACTATTACACGTCCAGAAATCACCTTTGATGTGAATAAGTTTTGCCAGTTCATGCAAACCCCTACTATCGTTCATTGGGCTGTTGCAAAGAGGATTCTTCGATACCTCAAAGGGACGACCATGTATGGTTTACTTCTTCGACCATGTCGTACATTCTCTCTTGTTGCTTACTCTAGTGCTGATTGGGGTAGCTGTCTCATGGATCGTCGCTCACAAAGTGGTTATTGTGTGTTTCTTGGCTCTAATTTAATTTCTTGGAGCTCCAAAAAGCAACCCACGATGGCTTGCTCTAGTACTGAGTCAGAATATCGCAGCTTAGCCTCCGCGGTTGCTGAGGTTTTATGGCTTCATATGCTCCTCCAAGAATTGGGTATCTCTAGCTTTGCCACTCCTTTGATATGGTGTGACAACATGGACGCTAAATTTCTTGCTAATAATCCTACACTTCATTCTCGTTCTAAATACATCGAGTTGGATATTTCATATGAGAAAAAGTTGCAGGGAAGCTTCTTGATGTTCGGTACATACCCTTGGCTGATCAAATCACAGATATCCTTACCAAGCCTCTCGGTCTTCCGCAATTTGAGGTTCTTCGTTACAAACTCACCGTTTCTCCCCCGGCTGCACTTGAGGGGGGATGTAAGCGATAACATACTAATGTGCATGGCACATGCACCTAAGAGGCTAAGACTCGTACTTCATCCTGTAAATTCTTCTTCCATCTTATCTTGTAAATACCTTTCCTATTGTACTTCTCCTTCTTGTAGATAACCCCTATCCTAATAAGGATTGCATCTAACCTATCCTATTTTAGGTAGAACTTCTTGTACTCTATATAAATCATCAAAGAAAGGATAATAGATATTCGACCATTATTATCAATTGTCTCTCTCTTATTACTCTCATAGTAGATTATTATATGGTTCAAAACTTATCATTATAATTTAAACTTTGTAGATATTACCTTTTACAATACTTATTATACACATTCAAATATTAAAATGAAAAGAAATTATCAAATTACTTAAGTAACTCAATGGTCAAGTGAGACCATGGCCTTTGTAACCATGAGTGTTTGGGTTCAAATCTTCACATCCTCAAAAGTATTTTAGGGTTTATTTCAAGACAAGTTCAGTTCCAAGGTTGATTCCCCCAAAATCCAACCAATGTCGATTTAGGTAGGGTAAACCCTTAAACCTTGACACTTACTTGGGTGGGAATCTATTCCAAGTATTTGGAACCAAACCCTACCATATAACAGATTAGGTAAGAAGGATTCAGGAGTAGTTCAATGTCAGTTCCATTCAGTTCTAGGTAGAACTTACCCATTTGCTCACCCCTACTATTTATGTGCAAAGCAATTTCACTTGTATTTTACACATCATAAGATGATATGAGTGTAAATTCTAGTAATTTTGTTTGTAGTGCAATTTTATTTGCACTAGTGGAAAAAATATGGAAATCCAAATGAATTGAGTACAAATTCTGGTTTTTTATTAGGATTTTATCTTATTTTGTTTGTTTGCAATGCATATGAAGTACCTAGAGCCAAATAAAGTAAAACTCAAAGTAAAATTGAACCAAATTTTATACTCTTCTCATCTATGCTAACATGCATTTGTATTTTTTCTGCAACAATAATAATTATGCACTAAGAAATGGAAACCAATACATCAGGGGGGGTGTGAGTGTGTGTGACTCCCAATAATGAGCACACAATTTTTCCTTATAATACATACCTAAACTATGAGCTAATACATTAATAGATCTTGGGACATAAGAAAAAGAAAAGGTGAAGAATGATAGTGAAAAAGATATTAATCTATGCTATCTACGAACAAAGAACAAGGAACAACATCAGTATTGTTAGACAAAACATGAATATTGCCAAACTGTTTAAACTAGATAAATCAGCCAACGCATGGTAGATAGCCATCACTTTGCACACTTCCACCTCATTATAAATAAAGAAACTACCCCACTTTTGGGAATTGTTTCTCCCAGTCCAATACAACTCATGTTGTTACTGACCATCCAACTTTGACAATGACATCAATGTATAGAACAAGATTAACTTGCTGAAGATCTTCAACCAAATCCTAAATTTTCCATTTCTAAACACCCATTGGTTCACGTCCATCCAACGCATGACACCACTCATCAGTAAACTTCTCAATAGCTCGCAATAATCGAGTTAGAGATTTCAGGCCCCCAATGCCCCAATGTCATGTAACATGCACTTGTATTTATATAAATGAAATTAAAACAATAATAAAAGTTTGAATACAAAACAACTATAAGAAGAATAAAGTGATTTGGTGGTTAAGTCCACCTAGAACCTTGTATATATAAACATTAATGGAAGAGTTTAAGTACAAGTAAATCAAAGACCCGTATAAAGATTACAATGAGAAAAATAGAAAATACATCAGATCCTTTTAGAGTTTGTTGTGCACCACTCTATCCTTTCCTTATGATCACCCTTATCCTCAATATGCCCCTTTAAGTGAATGGGCAAAGGAAGTACATGTAGCTTGATGATAATGGAAGAAAATCGAGGAGAAGCCAAGGGCTTTGCAAAAACATCGGCCAACCAATCAATAGAGGGTGTGTAAAATCAGGGACAATGTTGACATTAGAGATGAAAAATTGTCACATTGAAAGAGAGACCTTGGTTTTTCAAAAGTGATTGAATCCATAATATCTTT